GAAAATGACTGGACATTTCCTCTTGATCTATTTGAAGAAGCGAGAAAACTGTCATACAGTCAATAGCACATTAAAACTGATGAAAATTATTATGAAGTTAACATTAACATTTTTTTTTGGTAAGATTCAAATTATGCTGTAAAATTTCGTATGCTCATTCTTCTACTGTTCGATATTTGATTTGTGCCCTCTTTTCTGTATATTCTAGGAAATTCTCACAAAAATTTATTTCGTTTGAATTTTAGGAATTTCAGAAATCGTTTTTTCGATATTCTAGAAATCCACTCGAAAATGTTTAAAGGTAAGGGTACGCGCCGCATAAATGATGCATCACTAACCCCAAAAGCGGACATCTCGTGGCGGAGTGAATAATGAAAGGGTACCCGCTAAATTGTCCATAAAAGCAACATCTTTGATGGCTTTTTCCCCGCAATGATTGCATAGAAGCAGGCTGCTGCTTTTCCTAATTTGTTCTTGGACTAATTTTACCGCCGAGACATTTGTCGCAACCACGCATAACAATTTCGCTAACTGGTGACTCCGTATTTCTTGCTGGCGATCGGTGAGAGCAAGGGAGAGAGGGAGGGGGGAGTTTTCTGGACGAAAAAAAGTGCGTTGAAGATCCCACGTGACAGGTGAAAAAAAAAAGTTTTGCACCGCAGAATGACGGTGAAACCCTCCCCCTCTCCCCTACTAAAAATTCTGAACGTTGAAAAATTCTGAATGAATTCTTAAAATAATATTGTTTTAGCTTTTCCCTCTATACTTCTGTTGCCTGTGAAAAGCGGAAGCACATGAAAATAGCCTAGTTTCAACACGGTGCTGATGGCAGTCGATTGCTTGCGAGGAGTTTTTCGATGGCTCTCTACAGTGGAACTTATTCGCTCTCAGCTTTACCTAAGCATCAGTTCGAAAAGAAAATCTTCAGCATGGATCAGTGCCAATTTGCCATCAGGCGAATGGGCGAGCTGGTTGCTCTGCTGGCAGAGTTATCCATAGATGTGTGCTTGAAAACAATGCTAGTTGTTAGTGCTTAATCCAACTCGCTCGTA